ATCCAAAATTCATGAGCTCCTTATAAATATGTACCACATTACAACTAGGTAGAAGGTCCAAAATGAAAACACAAAAATAACATAATTTAATTCAAAATGTCTCAATTCCCTGTCACATTGTCATTCATTCTTCTTATATATTTATTCAATGCAACGCGGCTTATCGAAACGTAAGTTAACAGTAGAATAAACTCATGTAAGGCTAATCGATTTATTTATTGAATTGGCACAACTCGATTATAGTATCGATTATGTAAGTGAAATGTCGTATGCAAATACGATATCAATTATTCAGTGTTATTTTTCAGATTAGTGCTTTATTTATATCTGTTTAAGGTTTTGTTTTTATTGTTGCAGTTATTAAATATTGGTCGATTTTGAATAATATATCATCAAAAGGTTTTTCAAATAATTTGGCCTGCCCATTGCCCAATGGCACTTGTAGATCTGGTTCTTTCGCACCGATTATTATCCCGTAGCTAGATGAGATGTGCACCCACGACGCAGGAAAAAACGTATAATGATAGCCTAAAATACCTAGATATTCATTCCATAACAAAGATATACATAAGAACAGAGAAACCTAACAATCACCTTTTCTTTAATATTAATTGGTTTCCAGGCACCCATGTGCCGAAAATCCCTAAGAGCTCGGAGCTTGCAGAGCTAACATCGTTTGTATGATCCGTCAACGCAAGCAACGTTCAACGTGGAAAACAATGAACGATATTAATGGGCGATGTGCGAGGGGATAGTTCGGAGACTAAGCTTTCACACGAAACCTAGGTATAAGGTGCATACATATATTTCCTTGTCAACGTAAATGTGAATCTCTGCAGCTGACAACATGGCGATATTCTCGTGTGACCACCCACATTGATAAATACAGCCCTTTACATCGGATATTGACAAATGACTCAGAAACCAGTTCAGTTTATAGCAACATGGTTTCAATACTCCCTTTAATTCCGAAACGAAACTTAATTATTATTGTAGAGAGTGATTTGAACTATCATATTTAAATTGATAGCTTTAATGATCTATAAAAATATAACGTTACTATATCGTAATGGTCAGTTTAAACCGAAACGTAACGCTTCGATATTGGAAGAGGCCAGTGATTTCGTGCTGAACCTGAGCTGAGTCACCGCGAAACGCATCACGTGAAATATGAATCTTTTCTGGTAGAAAATAAAGTTGTATTTTGATTAAGTGTTCGCAGCGTTGCGTCTCGGTGTGAGCTAACCCTAATAACAGCTCGTACGTCATACTCACGTACTCCGTTAGGACTGACTCGTAGTAAAATATATTTAAATGCGTTACGCAACGATACTTTGTACAAACGCTAAAATGGATGCGCGGTACGAACGCTGCGTTTGATGTCGTGTGGACCTAACGTATTCGAGAAACGCTTTTTAGTAGTATCGTAGATTGAATGAGTTCTTCAGTTTCAGTAAAGGTATTTATAGTAAATAATTAAACTATTAAATAATGGTCTCGAAATAAGATCATTTCCAAAAAAAATTCACTATTCTACATCTTTATGTAGACTAATAAATGTGTAGATAAGTAATATAATTGTTTATTTAGAATTATTTAAAAATAAATGTATATATAACCTAGCGAAGTCGTGATGGCCCGGACACTAATGTGCCCACTTCTTGTTCAATGGATTCGAAATCTGGCAATTATCAATGTGACTTTTTTCGAGGATTATGTAGTACCAATATAATAATAGTAGTAGGCCGCTTAAGAGGCCTTTGCTCAGCAGTGGGCACTTCTAGGCTGATGATGATCTAACCTAGCATAACCTAGCATATACGATACTTCCATAAATCGGTGCACATTGCCGAATCACTACGTCGCGTCGTGCTTTCAAAGTGCAATTTAGTTGATTCGGTTCCCCACCAATTGCGAGTTGTTTGGATCATCGCCTCATTTAGTTGCAAATTATGGTTCAGTGCATTTCAGTGCTATTTAGGAAATAAGAGCATTATATTATGCTAGACCAGGTGCAAAACAATACTAAATATATCCACTGTTCTTGGCTTGGCCTTCAATCACTCTTTCCATTTAGAACCGTATCAAAATCCGTTGCGTAGTTTTAAAGATTTAAGCACACATAGGGACAGAGAAAGCGACTTTGTTTAATACTATGTAGCGATACTGATACTGTTGAGTGACACACACATTCTGTCTGTTATTTTCTTGCAACTTTAATGAAATAAAAATACAATATATTATATTTGAAAGTCGGTCCTACTAAAGAAAATGTAAAAAACGAGGTTACCATTTAGATCTCTCCCGCACAGTGGGTCAAAACGTGAACACTTCATTCACATGTCGTTAAATAAAGATAACAATTTTGCAAGCGTTGAGCAACGCACACTATGCGCCTGCGTCTACCTCGGCCGGCGCCAGCGCCGACTCGGACGCTTTGGAAATATTGATAAGGAGCTCAAGTTGTTCATATCATACTGATGGGGTTTAAGTGTAAATATAGTATTGTCAACCGCTACTTCGTTGCCAAATCCATGTTTGTGTTCCCTTGTTTGTATAGTCTGAATTGCAAAAAATAGTATTGGATTTGAACATGATGTAGTTAAACGCACCGAATTAACCTATCCTGTACAGTAAGGTATTTTTTTTTACCCAGCTATACTTTTAATTAAAATCTGTTTAGTACGTAGGTAAGTGTAACAACATTCAAATTCTGATATTTAAATTTAATTTTTAAATTTCATTTAAGGTATGTAATGTTGATAAACTACTGAAATAATCTATTAATTACAAAAATATAAACCAAAAGCTCAACAAAACCAACTATAAATAAATTAAAGTCTATTTTAAGATGTCAGAGTTTCCAATTGAAACACGTGCGCCTAGATCACAGGCAATATTTATATTTAGTTCATTGACAGACCTGACTGAATTAGTTTGGCCTAATACGATGCACTAAATATATCATATTGGATTCGTTTTAATGATAAAAAATGTTCAACGAGCCAACACAACGACATCTACGGATGCACCTGTTGCTCCTTATTTTTTATTAGATTTTTGTCAAACACTTTTTTTTGAGCGTCAAATAGCTTCTCCCGCCCAGGATGGGAGTGAGTGTCGAGTTCTTACTGACTAAACCCCACCCCGGGCCTTCTCCTGCTCCAGGTCGAGGCCATGAAACGTTATTGGGCTTGCCCAACAACCCCTAATGAACATCGCCCCTGTTAGGCCCTATCTGTAGTGATCTATTAGTCCTTTAGATCGCGCGCTAGCCGCTGTCCGACTTTTGCTCAATGCTACATCACGTATGCTTGTGTCATACTTATAATTTAATACGTTAATTACAGTCCAGTCAAAAAAAACACTTCGTACCTTCCTTCACATTGTATGAACTTTGTCAAAATATCTCTTTACCAAAATTAACAAATAGAAAGTCACTCTATTCTATGCGAACAATGTCTCAGGCAAGATAATGTTTTAGCTGAATAACGGTATGCAAACTTTTCATGGTTTGCAGTGTAGTTCTAATCAATTATTTAATATATTATTTGTGACTTATAAATAATGAAAAAGTACAATTCATGATTACCCAGCTCACAAACTTGTAAACAATGAAGCAAAGACCTACTGAAAGTTGGTTTCTTATATTTACCTAACATGTATGCCGTAGCCTACCAGCTAAACTTAGGTATTCGACTAACGGCCTCAGTGACCTAGTGATTTTCTAATTTAGGCTGTCATTTGAAGGATTAAGGACGATTTCCATTTGCCATAAAAAATAATTTCTCCCAGAATGGCTGGTGAAGTTATATTAGAACTGCGACCCTAGAAGAAATCAATTCGCCATCATAAATAAACAGCTACTAAAATGGTACTGCGATATCATTTATGGAACAGGCTAGGCCTTCAATTGAATGGTAATAAGCTATTGGCTACAACATTCTATGTATATCACTTACATCCAATACATTATGTGTTTTCGCTATCACTTTTTAGTAACTTCAACTTTCTGCTTATGTTACTAGAGTTTATTTTAAAATACCGTTTTTATTACCTTCAACATACAAGTGTCTAGTCTAATTACAACTATACTAATATTATAAAGAGGTAAAATTTATAAGTTTGTATGTAGGGAGTAATCTTTGGAACCGCTGGTCGGATTGCCAAAATTCTTTCACTGATAGATAGCTACATTGTTCCTGAGTGCTATAGGCTAAAACATCACGCTACTGTTAAAAGGAGTAGCGGGTGAAACCGCGCGAGAGTAGCTAGTTTGTTTATAAAAAGACATAGGTACTTAAGTATATTTGAACAGAACCGTCAACAAACAATACTTAAAGATTGTTATAAAGGACTATTCATAAATAAAGACCATTTTTCAATATAAAAATTACACGTAGCACATTAAAACTCAATAAGTAGGTACCTATTGAACGTTCGCAATAAAAACCTTTGTAGGAATAGAAATTGTACAAGTATTGCAATAAATGTAAAGCTCTCACTCAACGCCGGTGCAGTAAAATGGCTCAGTATTGCAAGCCTTCAATAAACTAATAACTACCACTTGATGCTTATTCTACCATCTTCAAAGGTTTACTTAATAAGACTTCCCTCTTTTTTTATTTGCAACACGCCTTTTGCAGAACTTCCGTGTCTGGTACTTGATTAATTTAGCTTCGATATTTCTTCGTTTTAGGTTATGTCAGCATACCTTCCAGTTTTTTAGGTTATGTCGTATTAATCTCAACATTTTAAATTTTTTTGTTATTTTTTATGCTTCGGTGTTGTTTAATTTCATTTGTACTTAAGGTTTGTGTTCGTCTACCTGGATGACTGAGTCTCTTAATTTTTCTACAAATGAAACTTATCTTAATTTTATCGTCGGCTCTGAAACTTTTTACTTGAAATCGTTTGAGCCGTTTCCGACAATCTGGAAATAAAATGTAGATAGATATGTATATTAGGTTCATTACTAACATTGAATCGTTTCTTTACAGAACCATCTTGATATGAACACGCTGGACATGACAAAGAGTGAGCATCGCCACTTAGTCCTCCAGATTGCTCTGAAATGCGCTGACATTTCGAATCCCTGTCGTCCGTGGGAGATCAGCAGAAAATGGAGCCTCAAAGTTTGTGAAGAGTTCTTCCGTCAAGGAGACTACGAGAGGAAATTGAACCTGCCAGTGACGGCCCTATGCGATAGACACACCACGTCTATCCCGAAGATTCAGACTGGTAATATACACTAACAGTTAAAGCGCCACGAATATCTGCACTAATTTGCACCTACTAATTATAAATTTCACGTCAATTGCAGGGTTTTTCAAGTTCGTGGTGACCCCCCTAATAAGTGAGTGGCATCGTTTTCTCCAAAACGATTTGTCATCGCAGATGCTGAACAACCTACTCTATAACCAAAATAAGTGGGAGACACTCGTGTTAGAAGAACAAGCTCAAGAGACTCGCACTGAGATATCGGACGCAGACGCAGCCGACGATGACCTGGACACCGGATCAGATACCAACATGTCAGACAGCTCGGAGTTACTCCTGCCACCGCGCAGGTGCTCCCTTAATCCCGTCAGACACAACGCGTTCAAAGAACAACTGCGGCGGTTCTCGGTTCCGCTGAACGTGTTCCAAGACAGTAAGTTCAAAAACCGGGAAAAAAGCCGCGCCTCGTCGCTGGCCGAGCCTCGCCCCCGCTGCAGCCGGAGCCCCGCGCCCAGCGAACCATCCTTACATTCGCAGCTCAGCGTGCGCGGCCATTGTGAACATCCGCAGGAACCTGCAGAGAGGGTTCTAAGCTCTGAGAAACTTCTACCGGATTCATCTATAGCCTCTATTACCACGCCTGTGCAGGCCACACGCCTCAACACAGTGCTCAAAGAAGGTGGTTCCTGGAAGTTGGTTCGCCAACAAACGTTCCCGCCCCTCGAGTCCACTTCTCGGGAATATTCCCTCGCGTCGCGACCTACCCACACGAGTAATGAGGATAGCATATATATGTCGCGAGTAAGACCAGATTTTCTTCAATTTGATCAAGGACCATCCCCGAAAGACTCAAAAGTTTATCAATTAGTTGTGAGAGACATTAAAAAGACTGATAATGAAGAGAGTTCCGAATCCAGTGCTGAAGCACCAGAACCTTCGCGTTTACAAAAAGAAAATTCGGAACCTACAAAGCCAACCAAGAAAGAACCCACTACAGTGGGAAGTCAGCTACGTGATAATCTGGCATCGATGCCACTGCCACCGCTCGAGTCGGACCCGCTGCTTCAGCGGCGGAGAAAATCGATGCCTGCTGATGTTTTTCCATTTGGTGAGTCATTTGTAACAATTTTAAGCAAAAATTTCCGTATTTAACTAACGTACAAGTGATGTACTGATGTTTAAAACATCATGCGTATATTACAGCTCCGAAGGAAAGAAAAGTACGCGAGGCGCCTACGGTCTTTCCACAATTCTTGCATCGTACCTTCTCAGAGAAGGAATCCTGGACTAGACGCCGAGGTTCAGCGCCATCGCCCGTGGCGCCCTCGGAGCTCCGGGGGCTGGCGTCGCTCAGCTCGCCGCGGCACAGCGTGAATGGGGGTCGCAGGAAACCGAGCCCCATTGTGAGTTGTCAACAGTGGCTCGCCAAGGCCACTCTCAGTGTACAGGAACGCCGGCTCCAAAAGTTTCCTCGGCGGAGCTCACTTCCTGTCGAGGTGATGACAGGTGCTCGATAGCTTAGCGGCTTTTTATATTTATTTTTGCATGTCCGTTTCACATTACTTTGGCAGGCATAGGTATTATTTACTGTGCAAGCAATAACACCAGTGAGCAAAGGCCTTTGCTCAGCAGTGGGCACTTATAGGCTAATGATGATGACGGTGATGATAACACAAGCAATCATTGAGTTCCGTAGCCACACGTTTTAAATCTAGGTGCACGGTGTTACCGAGATTTAAAACATCTCTTGTTTAAAAAAACTTCTTTGAAGTAGATGTGTCCACATTGCTCGGACTGGGCACGGACGCATATAAATAAAATCACAAATGAGAATTACAAAAACTCTACACCTCCTCTAGTAATTAGGTGGCACACTGCCTCGGCTCATGTAATAACAGTGACGCAATGTTTCCAGGTATATCATCACATTGATCCTGACGACAACACATAATATTTGCTTGAGCCCAGAGGGGCTCAGTCACAAGACTCCTTCGAGGACGATTACTCTGAAATGTCGTTTAACAACTACGACGCTGACGATGAAGATTTGGATGACGATAGCACGTTCGACAATGACTACACTAGCGAGTTCCATGAAAATTTGGTCTTCGATCATTCGGACGATAAAAACGATGTTTTAGATAATGATGATGACGACGATGATACTAACATACTTATCAACCTGCCGTTCGTATCGCGACATCGCGCATCTTCTATTTAGACGATCTTCGCACTTCTATTCGTTTTCCTAGCGGTTTCAATTGTAAATAGTTCTACCAAAATACGTGTGGCTGCAGAGGATTGAATCCATCGGTCTGTAATCTAAAGAGAAGTGTGCAAACTTAGGAATGTATCGGTCACATAGTCACACTCCTTTCCTAGTGGGTGTACCCAAAAGCGGAACCCACAGATGGCACTAACGTATATTGAATATAATTGTAAGCATTGTCTATACGCTTAGTAGTTGACTAAAACTAAACTTGAACAACTACCAAACTTGAACATTAAGATATCACGAATTAATATAATGTATAGTATAATCTAAGTGGTAATATCTTAAAAATACTGTTTTAAATGTTTATATTCTATTGTATGTGGATAAGAAATTGAGAAATTCTCCTTCCATTGCGCCTTTCAATCGACATTCAATCATGTAGGACTATATTATTCGCGCAATGGAAACTAAACATTTCATATAGAGGTCTAATAGCTCAAAATATACTGTATTTATAAACCGATTATTCTCTCACCCGTTACATAATTAGTTATGAAATATTATTGTCTATAAACATGTGATTAATAAATTCAAGAGCACTTCATCTAAGTGGTATTTATTTCAAGTACATTTGGTTCATTTTACCACCGAAAGCAGGAAAACCCAATCATAACTACACTACAAACATTATACGCAGTACAAATAATTTCTATACGATTAATTATATTATTTTTTTAATTTACGATTTACGATTAATTGTATAAATATTAGATTGATTTTATTATAATAATAATTGTCTCACTAGGTTAAACGTTCTTGCTTTAAGTTCTAACAGAAGTTATGTTACGCCTAATTTTTTTAAGTACACACATTACGATTATACCAAAAATACAATTATCCTATTAATTTGATGAAATGATTGGGAATATATATGTTATATTTGGATTGGAGTCTCATTAATAGTAACTTTTATTATTTCAAAAGTTATATAGTCATAGAATATAAGTACTTAGTAGTTTGTAAGGTGGGAAGGAAAAGTGGTAGTCGCTCTTTTTGGGCGTGACACGCGCCGTAATCGAGGGGTAGTGTGGATATGGAAGTTCAGTATTATAGGGAGACGGCGTTGGGACCGTTTCTGATGATCGCTCTCATATCATAGTTTGTAAGCAGTCAGCTTCAGGAGACCCAGGGAAACCGTATAGCTTGCAGAACAGCAGTAAACTTTGTAGTTATAATAATTATTACAATGTGCAAAATTAATTTTTGAATATTACATTTTCAATGTATATGATCATCAGAAACGGGACGTAGTATGGACAATTCGTGAAATATTTTACTATAAAAGTATTCAATATTTTTGTTGTACGTTGATTTGTATATTATGTTTCTTTTTAAAGATATTATTGTTAAGTCAGTTTTAGGATAAATTCGATGATGAATTTTATTTGTTCGGCTTTACTTTTAGAAAATATATTTTAATGAATAGTTTTATTTGTTCCAAAGATCTTTCATGGTTGTCCACGTCTGAATTGGCACAGCTGCGTGCGCTGTCACCAAGGGCCTGTAGACTAGCAATGCAGAATTATCTTGCAAAATGTTTCTTGACGAACCTATTTCAATTTATTAATATATATTGATGTGTTTATGTAGCGGTATGCCCGTACAGCATTTGGTTACTAGAGGTCGTGTTATATGCCTGATTTTATTGTGTTTTATTTTTATCTCTAAGGTTGAACAGGCACTTAGAAGCTTACACTTGAAATGAACAAAAAAGCACCGCTAACTCGCTGTAAGATTTTCCACACTTAAAAAACTAAGGTATATCGTTCTCAGTGGTGTTAAATTTACGATTAGAGGTCAGCTCACGAATGATAATTTTGTTTAATCTTTCTTGAATATCCCCTGGATGATTCGTGACGTATTTTTACTGTGCACGATGATATATAACACAACTTAGGTAATGTTCCCTATATCTCTATGGTAGGCCTCTAGTATACAAAGGCGTTGTAAATGTTAAAGGACAGTGTTACGCTAAATTTTAATATGTTATGTGTTTCATCTCCATACTCATGGAATATACATTCTGCACGCAAGGTGGGGAAGCCAGGATCCATCTAGAAAATGACGAAATGGCAAAGCGACACTAAAAATAATCAATGAATGTGTAGTGACCATATGAGACCCTAGATCTCTCTACAAATAATATATAATCCTTTCGTCATTTCATGTAAATGTTAGATATTAAGATGTGTTAGCATTAATGAACTAGTTGATCTTATTTCGTTCGATAGTTTACTGCCACGCCCGCTGTGACACGTATCTATAATAATGTATAATGGATCATAATTATGCAGAGTACCTACACACATAAGTACAACAATGGTAGTAAAACTTTTTATAAAAATCATGACACGTTAAATATGTAAATATGTAACTAGGTAGTATTGGTAATGATTGGCTGCCCTCGTCGCCCATAGCCCGGGCGGCAACACGGCGCATTCTTCAAATAGTTCCACGATTCTTAAATTAAGTAGTATTTAGAAAATGTCCGTAGCGTGTCGTCAGCGGGACATGTTTCTGATCTTATTTCTCAATGTCTATGTACCTAAACTATTTGTAAATGGATTGGAAAATATGTGCTCAATAATAACTTCACTAGTATTATTCTGGGGGGACTTTTCCTTCGAACTTTTGAATGCACAACACTATGTAATAAAGTATACATAATAATATATATATTGCCTCATGAGTCTGCTGTGTAAGCGGCGGTTGGTGACTTGTAACTAGTCTTGTATTTCTCGTTGACACGGGGCGAAGTGTCGCCTGCATAATATATGTATAGTAGTGGCCCGCTCGAGGTCTGCCGCAGCGCCTGGCGAGGGCAATCTCTTGTCCGATTAGTGTAAGAGCCTCGGGCCTATCTCTCACTGTTGTCTCACTGACCTCGTACGTATATTTGATGTTTAGATAATTTTAAAGAATTGTATCGTGTTATGCGGCCGCGGCTATGATGTCACAAGTTCTTAGTTAATGGTGTTTTAAAATTAACTGATGTATGTAGTATGTAACATAGGTGAATGCCTGTTTCCCCTTAAGGCATGGTGTCGTGGTCCTGCTTTACCCGAACCTCGACATGTTTATAGTTCAACCACAGAAATAGGCTAACCACCTTTAAAAGTTATCTTATATAGGTATATTTGATAAAGAATAAAAGTTTTGAGTCGTATAAGACTCAAGAAAATCTCGTATAGGATTCGGTAAGTTTTGAAATATGGGGAGCTGACCAAAAAAGTTTTAAAGGAGGGTAATACGAAGAGATGGAATGGGAAATAAGATGTTGTCGTTTCCGTCTAGATAGAAGAATTGAATGGTGCAAATCACAATGAATAATTACACCTAGTTCCATGTTTCATTTCATTCTGTGGTTTAGCTATAAACAATTACCTATAATATTCTTCATTGTAAAGTAGGGTGTCCATTGAGCGACAATATCTTGAACATAGAATATACAATAATCGAGTACATCACATCATATTGTAATCATCACAAATGTAATTATGTATTAAAGTGTGATGTTCGTAGATTAAACTTCTCGATTGAGACGTTTTCTGTATCTGTTTACAAAATAATATTGTAATGTTAGCGAGTAAATGTTTCTTTGTATTATAACAACAATATTGTAAATGTAGGTGTCAGTATGTCAGTAGTCTCAACTATAATTATCTTGTCTTACTTATTAGTCGCGTTGGCTGGAAACCCTGCTTTATGCTAAAAGTCTCCGTCTTAGATATTGAGACGGAATTCGTTCACGATAATTTCGAATGTAGCTCAATATTACATATTAATATAATACTAACACAATATAATGAAGTAGGTGAATAATTTTATTCCTTTTGCTGACTATGTTGTTCAGTATAAGACAGCAGCACCCAAATGATAGCATTTTGGCTATAGTAGTATAAACAGCGACACAAACGATGCACAATATTACGCTGCGCAAACTAATGTAACAACTCTTAAGTTAAAATATTTTTGAAATGTGGATGTTGTACTTAAAATGTTTTCGAAATAAATGTTTTATTTTCATTTGTTTTCTTTTTATTTTATTTTTATTTTCTCTCATTAATAGCTTGCTAAAATGAGCTTTAAATTTTTATAAAACAGTTATGGAAAAGCAGGAGTAACCCTTTTCGAATTTACAACTTTTACAATATGTATATATATAAGGGAAGAGTAACTAACGACTTGTAGGTATGTTTCGTTACATAATGTGAAGACTGGGAATTAATTTGATATTAATATTCAGTAGTGTACATGCGAGTGAGGTATGTATGGAATGGGGAATCGGTAGTGTTTTAGTACTATACTGTTGTAACTCTGTGTACTATCACTTACTATTGTCGAGGATCGATGTTAACTCAATGTGTCCTTTACCCTTTTGATGTGAAATAAAATCTATGTGACCAATCTTGTGGTTTTTTTTCATACCTTTCTATATACCTAATAGTCGAAATGTATGTATGTATAACCGGCGACCCATCCTTGCTCAGCATTGAGGTCCAACTCCTCGCGAACGACGAAAAATAATTTGTGCAGGCGTGCTTCAGTTATGCGGGTACCAATACCAACACATTATAGGTCTCATTTTTATACACAAAGATAGATTGATTGAGTTACAAATGAGTTACCAGCCTTTAGGACATATAGGTTTTGAGAATATTAGAATTTAGGAACTGGTAATAGAGGCAGTAAGGATTGGGCCTCCGATAACTTCACTTTCAAAAGTGGTGGTTCACGCTGGTTTTTTATGATAGGTCGGCAAACGAGCAGAGGGATTACTGAGATTTAGCAATCAGCGCCACCCATGGACATCCGCAACAACAGCGAAGTTACGAGTGCGTTACCGGCCTTTCAGGGATTAGGGATTGGGGTGGGGAGGATTGGGCCTCCGGTAACCTAACTCACACGGCGAAACACAACGCTGTTGCTGTTTCGGTAGCACTCCAAACATGTACATTCGTGCCGAACCACCGTCCAAACTAGTGACTATAAATAAGGATAAAGTAATGTTTTACACTTTCATTGTCCACAAAGTAGTCATAATAGTTGAACAATAGCTGTGTGTCATATGTGATTCATTGGACAGGGAAGTGGTTAAATAATGGTAATAACTACACAGACTACAATACTTTCTGGTTCCGTGGTTTAGGTCATATTTGCAGAAGTTTATTACACATTTATAATTAAAGTTTGTATGAACAAGAAAGAGTGACAGCAGCGAAAAGGAATATTGAGCTCAGTTAATTAAAATAAAGTGGACTGTATTGCAAACAGGGTAGTTTAATGTATTACAACTCATTACTTTTTTCGAAATGTCTACTACAACTATGACTACTGAGGGATATTTTTCAATCGTTAGATAAAAGTTATCTGTGGAATAATTATGTTTCTGTCGCGTCAGAATGTTTGTATAAGACAGTGACAGCGACAATTTTACTCCTCAGATAGCATTTATAAAATTGAGAAATCACCCCGTAATCCTCAATTTTCTTAAAGAAGGAGCACGATGTCGTCCTAATTTTTACACCAAATATCGTACCGAAATAATTTCTTTTGAGTTTTCTGAACAAATATGAGTGCGATAATTTTTTTACTATATTTATGTTTTATTAGATAAAATATTTTTGTTTTTTTGAGTTAAGAAACTACTCAATTAGGTATAAAACCAAAAATATTGTATGGATACGAAATTAATATCTACCAGCCTTTTTTTGGCTTTTGACGAAAGTAATCGCAAGTACTATGCTACAATAATTATCATTCAATAATATCTCCTACTGACTTTTCAATACACCTTACAATATTGTGGAGTCCTGGTATCCCCAGAATAGATTTGATTTATATTTTTTGGAAGTGATTATTAGTAAAAAAATAATATTTTCAAATAAAACATTATGTAAACGAAACATATTTTTATTTATTAATATTTGAATACTATCAATAATTTCTGTTTACAATTGTATGGTGGGTGGAAAAGGTCATCTACTTACCAATGGTACACACCAATGGATGGGCATGACCTTGATTTGTAACAATAAATTATAATTAACAAAACGTATAATTAAGCACGCTTTTAACTTAAATCGGCCTTGTTATTAGTAGATATTGACATATCAAAAGAGCCCAAACTCGATCTATATAGGAACTTGGGATCCCAAGGTCCCATGCCAATTTTTTATTCCATGATTTTACGATTTTACAAGCTCAATTGTAAGTATCTACCGTCATGCTGTAGTGACAGCTAACCTACTAATTGCCAAATTTTATAATGGCAACATAAATAGGAGTATGTGTACGCCATATACGCTATATACATCAGCAATACCTGATAAGTTGCAAGCGTTGGCAAACTTTAAGATTGGTGTAAGTGGAAAGTGTGGGGATGAATAATAACTATCTGTAATTCTAAGCAAGCAGGTGTAAAGTTAAATGACAAATTTTCTCACAAAACTCTACATGGTGACTTCCTAAAACACGCATTATCTAACAATACATATTTTTCGCAGAGCTATTGTCAGATTGCATAATATAAATAAAGTAAGAATTTCTATAGGAGGGATATAGAGGATTACGCTCAGGCATCTACTCAAGTAAAATTAATCCAGCAGGATTTATTGTCAAATAACAACTAAAGTACGCAGATTGTGCAAAAACCTTATTGTAAAATTCGTACACCCGGTTTCTGAAAGGCTCGTCAACGCTAAAATTAACTAATCTCCTGTTAAATTTCTTGTCAAGTCATTTGATTGGTTGTTGTAATTCGGTCAACCAATCAGATGACTTGAAAAGAGAATAAATTGATTTTAACATTGATCGGCCTTTCGGAAACCGGTTGTTAGTCAGAATGTTAGTAAAGACGCATTTTATTTAAATAAATACCAATAACTTGAAAAAATCGCAAACACAACGAGAAAATGAACAAAAATGAAATTTATATGCATTTTAAATTTATTAACAAGTATTTATAATTAAAAACAATAAAATGCAAGGCTCTAACTCACATGATTTAATAAAATTTCTATAACTTACAAACAATCTACTTTATGTACAGTTATTAAGGGCCGTCGGGCTTCGCTGAGGGCGCCCCTATGGGGGTATTGTCAGGTGCTGTAGCGTTCTCTAAACTCTTGAGGTTTGTCTCAAATTCCACGGGCTCAATGTACTTCTTCTGTGGGAACGGCGGCGGGCCGAGGATGCGTTGCAAATCATTGAAGATTAGCGTCTCTTTTTTCAATAGTTCTTCAGCCAACTGTTAATTAATGGATTATTTATTTATTATTTATTTATCACAACACATACAGTAAATATACAGAAACAGAAGTACATAGGTGCTGCATATTCCTGATTGAAATCTCTTCTTACAGACCTTCGAAAGGAGAAAAGTAAGAAACACAAGACATTATAGTTTAATATTTTTAAGTAAAGATGTTTCTCTTTTCAATTTCATTAATCTTGCTCCCACACCTGAATTTTCTTCTGGTAGTGAATGCGTTGCGTTTGTAAATATTTCACGTACATATAACAAATAATGAGGGAATCGAAGCCAAATGCATTGCACATACATTAAGCTAATTGTGCAATAAAATTAATCCATATAGTCTATAATTTTTAGTGTGGCAGAGCTATGCTTCGGCGCGAATAGGTCGGCTCGACCAGAGTGATACCACGGCCTCACTGAAAACCGGAAAGAAGGAACCACAGCGTTATGTTTTGCCGTGTGAGTGAGGTTAACGGAGGCCCAACCCTTTACCTCTTCCAATCCCTCCGCAGTTCTTAAATCCCCAAAGCCCTAATCTCCAAAAGGTCGGCAATGTACTCGTTTCTTCCGTTATTGCGGGTGTCCATGGGCGGCATCGATTGCTTACCATCAGGCAATCCGACTGGTTTGCCGACCCATTACAAAAAATAATAATTACTTACCATAATTAGTTTCGCTTTATTATCTAGGAGTAGTTTCTCGGTCCTAAAGTAAGCTTCGCCGATAAGTTTCCTGGCTTCCAAGTCCATCAGGTTCTTCAATGTCTTACTGAAGGGACTCATGCCGTGCTGCTTGAGGTCCGGGAACGACAGCAGACCCACTTTTTGTGACATGCCGTATACTTGTATCTATGTAACAAAGAATTTTTAACATTAAACATTGTATAAAAAGTGTGAAAGTGTGGTAATACAAGAAAACATACTTATAAAGAATTTAATTTTTCGCCATATTTATATATTTAAAAATTAATCCCAATTATTTCCCTTGGCCATAGAAACACGCGTGAGCGGTAAAACCGACTCCGATAATTGTATACGTATGTTAATATCAGGAAAAGATCTTTATAAAAAAATATCATCACAAGGGAAAATTGGGAAATTGCACCAATTTCTATGTCGGGACATTTCGTTAAGACGACTAATGTCTGAAACCGATGTAGTTGAACAAATGAGCAAAGCAGGGCCAGCGGCTAGTTTAAAACATAAATATGTATAACAACATTTCGCAATTTGCATTTGACATCAAAACAAGGCATACAATACCTACATACAATCAATTCGCTTGACAATAAGATCAGTCGCAAAATATTTTTATAGCAATGGCTAAGTATCGCTTATTTCATATCTTGCTTGGGGGTTTAAAAGTAAAAGTTAACAACGCGATGCGCATGGGCAAGCAGGTGTAAAAATAGATTACATTTAATATGAAAAAAAATCTAAATATCTGTAAACACTACAATATGACTGGAGAAATCATTTTGATATTTTGTTCTTATATAATAAAGCAAGATTTAAAAAGTTGTACGGTGTGAATGAGAAGAGACCAAATACTCATCTATTGCAAATGGTCGGCGACGCATTTGCAATTTCTCCGGTGTATTGACTTCACAGGGAACGTTGAACACTTATCACCAGTCGATTTGTATACAAATCTACATGTTACTCTTACCTATCTTATATTATGTACTCAATAAAGGTATTTTCAGTCCGCATAGTAACAATACCTGAGCATAAGCAATTTTGGTGACTTTCTCGAGGTCATTCTGAGCTCCACTGGTGATTGAGTTGAAAATGATCGCCTCGGCCGCTCGACCTCCCAGCGCCATACACATGCGGTCGAATAGCTATAGATAAAATCCACAAATTATTCATTTAAATATATAAATCTATACTAATATTATAAAGCTAGAGAGTATGTTTGTACGCTCAAATCCTTAGAACTATTGGTTCGAATATTTTTTTTTTTGTGTTTTTTAGTCCATTTATCGAGTAAGGGTTTAGGCTATAAAACATCACGCTACGATTTGTAGAAGCTGATCAGCGAGTGAAACCGCACGACAGATGCTGAACATTAAGCAACACTCAATGCATATTAGAGATTTATAATTATGAGAAATAAGTCACTGTTTCCACACAATGTTTGTTCTTCACCACATGTCAGTGGTGTATATATAATAAAACTAGCAGTTCTCGTGCGGTTTCACTTGCTGCTTAGCTCCATTTGATTGTAGTGTGATGTTTTATAGCCTATAGCACTCAGGAACATTGTAACTATCTATCAGTGAGAGAATTTTGGCAATTCGACTAGCAGTTCCAAAGATTACCCCCTACATACAAACTTACAAACTTACAAATTATACCTCTTTATAATATTAGTATAGAAGTATAGATAAACAAAGAAAGTACATATAATTCAAAGAAACCACATTGGTTAATGCCAGATCTGTAACCAGAACTTTCATGGAAGAGAAGCGGGCGCTATTCCAACATTTCGTACCTTCCCTATCTGAGTGACTGACAAAGTATCCCTTACCTCCTCTTTATTGAAGAGTTTCTGATTTGAAGAGGTGTATTGTGCGAAACCGAGAGCCATATTGGTGCGTGGTACGATGGTGACCTTCAGCAATGCGTCAGTATGCTCCAGTAACCAGCCAGTGAGAGCGTGTCCCGCCTCATGATAAGCCACCACTCGCTTCTCGGTCGGTGACATCGCGTGACTACGCTTCTCTGTGCCACCTGTTAACATTCACATTACAATTTATTATTGTGTACTAGGAATTATGTTCGGATCAAAAAACAGAACTATTTTCTTCTTTTTTGGTCAGGGGAATCATCAAATACTTCTCACGCCCGGGGAAAGGCAAGAGAAAGTGTCACTTTTACTAAACCCAAACCCCACCCCCCGTTTTATTATGTTACGGGACCCGTTTTTTCAGATTGCAATACCGTATTTGACAACTAATCGAATTCAATACTCTTATATTCTACATAGTTTGTATGCGATACAGACTTGTGACGTCATCCTATTTTTGTGTCAAAAAAGCACTCTTGATAAAATCGATTAATTTTAGTATCGAAACTGAAACTTGATTAGTTGAATTTCTCCTTGAATGTGTTTGACAAGTTCAGTAGTATTAATTAAGTTATGTATTTTAATATGACATACGTATTTTTTTTGTTTTTGGAGTGTTACAACTACCTTGTCATTAATCATCGATGATAAACGTAAAAAATATAATCCTACTAGTATTATAAACGCAAATATTTGTACATATGAATGGATAAATATTTATTACTCTTTTACGATAAAACTTCGGAATGGATTTTGATGAAAAATGGCACATAGATAGTTTATAGTCTGGACTACATATAGGGTACTTTAATCGGGGTAAATCAGAAGCTGGTACTGGTATAACATACCCACGACCCTCTCGACGGCGTATTCCAAGTCGGTGTGGCGTACGATGGACTGTTTGTGCCTGGCTGCGTGCAGGGCCGCCTCGTTGCACACGTTGGCAATGTCCGCGCCACTAAAGCCGGGTGTCAAGTATGCCAGCCTGGAATAAACATTTCATTACATTAATATATTAATTGGTAAGTTTAAGTGATCGACACGAATGGGTCGTTTTTTTATGGGATGGGTCGGCAAAAGAGCAAACTGATTGCCTGATGGTAAGCAATCGGCTCCGCCCATGGACACCCGCAACACCATCAGGGCTACGAGCCCATTGCTGGCCTTTTAGGGGATAAGGGTTTCAGATATTTAAGGATTGAGAAGGGATGGGAAGAGGGGAAGCGATCGATGCTGTGGTTGTTACACGCCGGTTTTCTGTGAGGCCGTGGTATCACTCCGGTCGAGCCGACCCATTCATGCCAAAGCATGGCTCTCCCAAACTTAAATGGGAGATACGTCAGAAAACAACAAAAAACCGGCATAAGACCAGACTTAATAAATAAGATCACTAGAGGAGGCCCAATTCTAGGCAAACATAGTGTAGGGCGCCCTCCAGCTAGGTGGACTGACGACATCCGCATGGTGGCTGGCAGCGGTTGGATGAGAAGTGGCGTGCTATTGGGGAGGCCTATGTCCAGCAGTGGACGATAACAGGTTGATGATGAGGCCCAATTCTTAGCAAGACCCTCTATTTTTGCTCTATTTCTTAAATCCTCTTACACATGAAACTCCATCTTATGTTGCAGATGTCTATGGTTGGCACTGACTGCTTACTATCAGGTCATCTGGTGATGACAGATGATCTGTCTACGTCCGACCAGCGGTTCCAAACATTACTCCTTACAGTTAAACAAACTTACAAATTTTATCTCTTTATAATATAAGTATAGATTAATAGAATTTTACCTTTTAACATAATAGTCAGGGAGTTTCTCTAACACGATATTTTTGAGATGTCTTTCGAATATCTCCTCGCGTTCCACCAGGGTGGGTAAGTCGATCAGAATGTGGCGATCGAAACGACCCGGACGCAATAGAGCCTGTAAATACACAATATACAATCACAAGAATGAAAAAAGGGGCAAGCTTATTGAGTCCATTGTGATTATACAAGTAACAATTGACATTTTCAAAAAATAGCCAGTATAATCTATAATATAAAAATGAGTCGCAAAATGTGTTGGTAAGCGCATAACTCAAAAACGGCTGGACCAAATTTGCCAAATCCTTTTGTTTTGTATTTATCATTGTTCTTATGAAAGAAAATATTAGAAAAGTAGAGGGGAAAATAGGGGAAAGGGACCCTTTCATTGTTAGCGAGATAGTTGGACCCGTACGAAGCGGAGGTGGGCCGCTAGCAAGTATATAAAATCACCTTATCTAACACATCAGCTCTATTAGTAGACGCCAACACGACAACACCTTCTCGACTTTTCATGCCGTCCATTTCCACCAGCAGTTGGTTGAGGGTCTGTTCCCCCTCACCGCTTCCAGGGCCAAAGGACGTAGGGCCCGAGGACCTGGCTCGTCCTACTGCATCCATCTCATCAATATAGATGATGCAGGGTGCACGAGCTAGAGCTTCTTTGAAGAGATCCCTAAAATATAAAGTGTGGTATTAAAAGAAAAAAAATAAAAATTGTTTTTATTTATTTGTTTGGATACTGCATTTGCCAAAATGGATAAGCTTGAAGTGAGTTTCTTTGTGAAATATAGACAATAACAACTGTTGTTGGTGGAAATTACGTACGTAATAACCCGTGATATGGTGGAGCGCAGGTCTACGTCAGACACAATCTCAACAATGTTTTCTATTGTGTTTATGAGACAAGAGGTTAATATCAAAGTCAAGTATGTAAGACATAGATTAACAACTTTTGAGAGGGAGTGTCATACTCTTACTGACTAAAAACCCTCCGTTCCTTCTGCTCTAGGCCGAGGCCGTGGTACCTTATGAGGCTTTCCACGCAACACCGGCTGAATTATACTTTTTTTATTGATCTTAGATTTCTGGTAGGGATTGAGTTCAGCAAAATGATATTAGATAAGATATTAGGATTATTAAAATATTGAACTTAACATTATATTATTGTAAGTAATAAGTTAATGGAAATAAACTCTCTCAGGTAAACTGATCCCTTTAGCCTTTAGTGTTAATTTTATTTTTATAATCCTTAAATTTTGTCACCTGACTCTCGCAGCGCCTAAACCGCCAATCATCTCGATGAATTCCGAGCCATTCATAGACAAGAACGGTACGTTAGCCTCTGTCGCTACAGCCTTCGCCAACAGGGTCTTGCCACAACCAGGAGGGCCCAACAATAGAGCGCCTTTAGGAACCTGGAAAAGGTCGAAGGTTTGAATAAAATAATATTAACAAAAAAAGCCAAGCTATTTTCTTTTTACTTTGTGTGTCTTGAGAGTTTGGTATTTTTCAATGTGTTGTATTTTCTAAATTATTGATTTATGCTTCAAGAAAAAACTCAATTCTAATCTTGACTTCATAAAGACTAGAACTGCATTAAACTCTATGGTTGCGGGTCTTCACAGACTACACTTGTTTGGCCTATCTACTAAACCTTAAAAAGACAGTCTTTGGTACAATACCTTAGCTCCCAAGCTTTTATAATGTTCAGGTCTCTTAAGGTAGTCCACGAACTCCATAACTTCAACCTTGGCCTCCCGCAGACCAGCCACATCCTCAAACTTGACTCCTTTACCCTGGCCGCTCATGGAGTCCACTAGAGTGAACTTAGCACGCCCTAACTGGTTCTGTAAGAAAAAGTTATTTTAAAATCATGTTTTGTTTTTTTTAAGCATTGCTCCTTACTAAGATTTTCTCCTGTGTCGTGGGTACGTTTACAAACATACAATTTCACATGCACCCAGACACATAACAACAATTTGTGGATCACACAAAGAGTTGCTCCGTACGAGAATCGAATACACGACACGTTGCGCGGCAGTCAGTTGCCCAGCCACTGCGCCAACGGTGTAGTCAAGTCGTGTTTATTTTATATACGTATTTGAATTTATGATCCATGTAAAGGACTACAGCCAGATGGAAGTGTATTATAGAGACGAGAAAGCATACATATTTTAGTGCTTCCTCTCTCTAATAAATGATTGCAACGTTAAGCGAATGCAAACATGGTGATGAAAAGAATAAAATAATAACAAGAATACGAAAATATTTTTTTAGGGCGTATGAATACGTTTTCATATCACTTGCACCTTATCCTTAACAAGGAGGCAGTATGAATTTGAGATTTGAAGCTCTCTCTTTCTTAGCGCTTACACTAGTGACAATGAAAATGGAGGTAAGAGGAAATCCACGATAGATTATACTTACAAATCCGCCAAGATTAATGTTCATCCTCATTGACTTGGAGGAGTAGAGGAAGGAGAGGATGACGGCTGCTATCAGTAGAGTCGTTATCACCTTACCGGCAACGCTGCCGTTTCTGTCATAAATCACTCGGACACCTGCAAATTGTATACTTTAATTAATAAACTAATTATTTTTTAAACAGGTTCAATATCAAATTAACTAAAATTCGCGGGTTACTCACGTGTAAATGTTGAGAAAAGCTCTACTGCGCGACGTCGCCGCGTCCGCGCACGCTGCTCATGAGGAAGAACCCCTCTGTGGTTCGAAACTAGTAGAGCTTTTCTCAACATTTACACGTGAGTAACCCGCGAATTTTAGTTAATTTAGTATGTCTCACGATAGTTATTATAAAAACATAGGTTCAATATCATTTTGTTTTGTTTGTCTATGGAGTCATATCCTGTATGTACAGACAATTTGAGTGTGTTCTTTTTTTAAACGTCGCTTTGTTCGTCTCTCTTTCGCTCTCTTTACTAAGCTTTATGGAGGTCGTATCAGCATTTTAGAAGGTTCTGTATACTAAGGTCCTACACAGAAATAGCTTTGTTACAAAATAAGTTAAATTACAAAAAGCCAGTGAGCCAAAAAACAAGATTATTTGTTCTGTGCAGCGAGCAGTGACCAACCACCAAGACACGGGCAGCAGTATACTTAAAAATTTCAATGGCCTAGGAAAGATCCTCAAGTCAACTACTCAGATTAGGTATTATGACAAATATCAGTGTCCTGAGCTTCAACCAATTAGCTGTCAGAATTGTCAGAGTGATAAGAAGGAGAACGCGATAGAATAAACGATTTGTAGGTTTACTATATTGGTTAGTTTCGAAAACGTTTTATACAAATCTTGGCCTAAGAATCTGCAGATGAGATCGCTTCGAACGCGTAGGAAGTTAGAGTTTTGTAACTAATTTCCTAAAACGACTTTTTAATATAACTAACGTAGTACCGAAGAGCAAGCAGTATCATTATCATACCTTCTTTGACACCTAGATTCTTTTCAGTTTCCCGAAGTTTCTCCTCAAAGCGGTGGATGTCGCCAACGTTCATGTGAAACGCGCGATGTGTGGTCTGTAACGAAGCGGTTGCCATTTTGGAAAAATATATGACGAATAATATGAATAATGACGTCACAACTCCCAACTCATCGTAAAAATATTAATTATTATCGTTTATTAACACTCCAAGAAATTATTTCATTTAACGAATTGGGAAATACTTTATTTATTATTTCGATAGTCTTACCCGTTTCCCCTTGATGATGGCACCTTCGTGGAGTATGATTGTGACCACTTCGAGATCAGGTCTGACTATCAGTTCCTGGACCTCGCCCTTGGATAGCATAGAATAGACAAACTCGTTCCATGATACATACCGTATCATCTGCAAAAGTATAAAAATCATCATCATCATCAATAAATTGAATCAAATAAAAGTTTACGCGTATGAAAAAGTCTGACAGCACAAATCACAATTACATCATTTATTTTTTATATTATTATAACACATATTATTATTGAAAATAGCAAGTATATTTGTAGTTTGGAGATAAATATAGAAACATGTGAGCTTTGCCAAACTAACACACACACACACACACACACACACACATCTTTGTAGTGTTCCAGCACATGACAATGCTAAGAAGATAATGTCCACTGTAAAATTAGGTTTGGAAAAACATAACTAGAAGAACAACTGATAAATATTTAATTATTCTATTAAGGCCTGATTTTTCAATGGTTAGGTAACTTTAATAACTTTTTTTTGTGAGGGGAATATCATCAAATGACTTCTCCTGCCCAGGGTCGGGTGGGAGGGAGTGTCTGACTCTTACTGACTAAAAACCCGACTGTTCCTTCTCCTGCTCTGGGCCGAGGTCGCGGTGCCTCATTGCGCTTACCCCGCAACCCCGGCTAGGTAACTTTTATACCTGGGGAAAAGTTATGCTGATGTCGCGTCAGAATGTTTGTATAAGACAGTAACAGCAACAATTTTATTACTCAGATAAGATTTATTTTACTATTGAAAAATCAGAACTTATTGTTCTAAACGTACTTCTACTGGACAATTTGTCATGATTTGATACAAAGAAATTCTTCTTTGATTTGTCTATATAAAGGTGGCTTTGTGTATGGTTTTCACAAAGAAATATTGTGATTTTGGAGGGGTATTAGTAGAATTGCATACCTCATTTTGACCATTTTCTCCGCCAGGCACAATGAGTGAGCTCAAGATTATCAAGAAGCAAGTTGTGAACATCCAGAATGCTGCTTTCATTATCAGTGATGACATTTCTGCATTCTTTTTATTTTTATCTTTTTCATCCTGAAACAGTAAAAACTTTTATGCCTGAGCCAGCTGCATGCCACAGCCTCGATCATGATCTTTTGCTAATCATGGTTTTTATAATAAAATGCCCTTTGTATTATTAATTTGGTGTTTATTATACTACACTGTTTTGTCATCTAATGTCTGTTACGACCTTTGAAATTACTAACATGAATATTGTAAAATTGGTATATATGCATTTATATTTGCCTTACATTAATACCTTTTAATCAAGGTAATTTGAGACACAATAGAAGAACAATAGTTGCACATTCGCTTGGAGTTTAATAAATTAAATGCATCAGCTGAATACATTTTATAGCTGTTATAAAGGAGTTTTGAGGGTTGGAATGTTACTATTTATTAAAGTGTAAGTTATTTTTTTTAAAGTGTAATTAATACCCCACTTAATTTCACTGCTATATTTAATAATGAAACACTCACTTTATCATCTTTTTTGTTTTGTCTATCTGTGGCACTGGTGCGGAATCCTCTGACATTATTAGTGAAGACTGAACTAAGTCTTGGTAAACTGGATCTTTTAATCAAAGCACAAGCTGCCTTATACTCAGCGTTGAATTGGCGTAGTTGCTGAAAAAATATCAAAAAAATATCAGCAGTCAGTGAGAGATGAATGACAAGAATACTTTACTAACATATTTTTAATGTATTTTTAGAACAATATCCCTTTCCAATCCTGGATGTGGCAGGGGAAAACTCAGATTCCTAGTACCCATAACAATAGCCAGTATACCTACATTTATTACTTGACTGAAGATTAATATGAGCATTATTTAGAAAATATAGATATTTGCACAATCATGCAATATTTCACAACATTGTACTACATTGCATCAAAATATTTTCATATATTTCAAACTGATACATCACTTATTAAAATATTCCAATTATTATAGGTGATCAGCTGTATTGCATCAGTGTACCTATATTAAATTCAGAAATGTTATAAAAACTCTGTTATATGTCAACAACCATTTAATTGTGCTGACAATATCACAAGGTTAGATTTATAACATCTAAAAATGTTTCTAATAGATAAAAACTTTGTCAAACCTAATGAAAATGTCTCACGTATCACAATATCACAGAAAAAACATACGTAAATCCGTGTAATTATTGGCTTAGTTTTTACATTACAGAATTGTTTTAGTTTATACATTACTGTTATCTAAGTCGATATTGACTATATAATGAACATTTTACTAAAAGAACAAACTTACCGGGTTTCTAGATTTACTGGTTAAACTGTGTAACAAAGAGAAAGATCTACACAACTTCATTAAATCATCCTGGCACTGTTTATTTATATGTCTTTCCACGACTGTATTTCTCACTAAAAAGTTTTGTTTTGGCTGTATTTTAGATGCAGATAACGCCGGCAAGCGTTTAATTGAAAGCATTTTTATGTTATGTGCATATGTTTATTTTATTTATTTAGTTAATTATACAGAACTTTTAGAAATCCTTTCTCTATTTCCAGGATTGATCTGATGAAGAAGTAAGGTTACTTTTGTCCAAAACTGTCATTTTGACTTTGACATGTAAATTTCTTTGCCCATCATAGACAAATGGCCGTGCCGAGCCATGGACTCGCTGTGATAATTTTTTTAACAATGTGATTTTTGGTCACCAATTTGCTCTGCTTTGTCTTTTGCTTTGCTTTGTTGCATTTGATTTTATAATTTAATTTTATAAGTCGTAGATAAGTTATGTCACAAAATATATTATTATTTGACTTCCAGGAACCGACCTGAGAGGATGCGTCGCCGTTTTGTAAGAACGTAAAAAATGAGTGCATATGTCTTTAAATCCAATCCTTTTTTAGCCAAAGAGTTTTATTAGTATTTAGGATTTTGGTACCTACCTATCCTGGCTGTTTTGGCATAGGTGATATTATGGTATAGTTTGTGCCCAAACGAAGAATATTAAATTAAATACAGAACGTCGCGTAACATTCATTTAATTGTCATTGCTCTGTCTCGTTGAAAATTTACTGAATATTTTCGAAAACATCATATACGAATCTTTTAATAAAATGTTTCGGTTACGCTCCATAATTTCAGCCGCCACACGCTCAAGGGGTTTGTTGAAAGTGTTACAGCCTATGCCAATTACAAAGCATAGAATGCATAGCGAAGGACCACCCCAACCATTTGACAATTTACCATTTCGAGTAATAAATCGGTGAGTCATGTTTGTGCCTATTGTACCTTCCATTGAGATATTTTACTGTTATCAAATGCCTATGTCAGTCTTCTTATGTATTATCAGCCACCTCTAGTTATGGTTAGTTGCGAAATAAAAACCCCAGGTTTTTCGCTGACCCATCTGTCAATGTCGAAGAGTAAGCAAATATATAATAATCTAATATTTTGGTCAGTGGGTCTTAGTCTACTGAGCCGAATTTTCTATCACCAGTCACCGCGCAGCAGAGAAATTGAAATACCTACATATTTTATAATTATTATCTTTTATTTTCAGTTACGCAGCAACATTATTCTTCGCGGTGGTCTATGGTGTTGGATTATGGGCCCCGTTTTTAATAGTTTGGTATTCAATGGCCAAAAAGACTTTGTAATACTTGATTGATACCTAATTTATTTTTTGAACTGTTATTAGTTCAACGCTAATTTAATTTAATAGTACCTATGTGATATCTATCGGTTTAACACGCTAGTGTTTTATGTCACGTATCGTATAGTTTCGTCCTGCTGCGTCGCGTAGTAGTATTTCACGACACGCGAAAATAATACTATACCGTGTGTTGTATGGTTCGTATCGCATCATTCAACGATAACATCAACTTGAGGACGAACTTGTGAGCTTAAAAAATGACAAACGAGTTGTATCTTTTCGAATCTTTTCTTGATTACCGGTGCAAAATTAAATCATTTTATTAAAGCCGCATTTTTACTAGGACACATTACGCCCTACATGCTATGTTTTAGCAACTATGTTACAATGTCGCTCGACATTTTCTTTCTTCACATTCGCAAGTCGTGATCAACATTACTGAGGCTGAGGAGGTAGTGATGTTCACAGCCGAAATACCGAGGGGTCACTCGCGACAGTAACAAGTTGCTCGATCCGTGCCTTATGCCTTTGCGATACCGAGCGACAACGCATGGAACTTTCGTATCGAGCGAAATACTTAGTTGCAGAACCGATGATGAAAATGCGGCTTAATTCTTCAAATTACAATAAATTCTTAGTATTTTTTTCATTTTTATTTTATCTGATGATTGTGTGTCAGATTGAATCTATTTAACTAAATTTATATCTAGGTAAACAAGTTCCTATCGGATAAATATCATTGACGCACAAGATATTGTACCAAGATATTAAAATAAACGAAATAAAAAATATAGTACAGTAATTAAGGTCTTTTTATTCATGTAGAATACCTACCTTTTTTGTGAGGGGAAAATCATCAAATGGTTTCTCCCGCCCAGGGCCGGGCGGGAGGGAGTGTCAGACTCAAAAACTAGTAAAAACCCCCCTGTTCCTTCTCCTGCTCTGGGCCGAGGTCGCGGTGCCTCATTGCGCCTAACCCGCAACCCCGGTTGAACATCAGCCCTATAGGGCCCCGTCTATGGTGGTCTATTGGCTCTTTGAGGCGCGCGCGGAACGCTACGCGCCGTACGCTCGGGCCTGGTTCTGGTCGGGAGGCGAGCTGCACTTACTCGCCGACCGCAGACCCGCGCTTACGGTGGCCGGAGACCATCTCTCGATGTAGAATACCAACCTAAAGTGCAAAACGAGGTAACATAATCACCTGATGATAGGGATCAGCACCAACCATGAACAACTCCAAAGGAATTACGAATGCGTTGCCAACTTTTGGGTTTTCGATTTGAAGTTTGTGTGCAGATGAGAATGGTCCTGCTGCAGAGCATGACACTGGCAATTGGGACTCGAAGTCGAAGCACAACGCGTTGTCATAGTGGTTTATCACTGGTGGAGCCGGCCATGTCTTTACAAAAGTGGTTATTCAATAATCAGATGGAGGTGCCACTTTTGTATTAATACTATAAAAAAAATCTCCATAGTAGGTACCAATTATTATAACCACACATTTAAAACAAAGAATCTCTACGAGCCGTCCACACGTCGGTAGGTCGTTCAGTCTATGTTGGTTCTCGTCAAATGCAATACGTTTTTGTGGTATTTATTTTTGGGATTACACAGGCAGATTTCTAATTGATACAGCTCCAGAAATTTAAATGTTTCCTCTGTGCTCATGTTTGCCATTTCAACAAGCAAGAAAAAAATGGCGGTAGGTAAAAAAGAACGGCAAAAATCACGCATGCACTCTCTCTCGCTTCCCGATGAACACTGATGTGTCGTCAGACGTGTGGACACACCGCTCGCTCGCGCCGGGCGCCCGCGCCAGATCCCTTTGATCCGTGCTACAAAAACCGACAGCAAACGGATAAATGCCGGACACGTCCACACACGACCACGACACGTACCACAGACGAGCAAATCACCGCCTCTACACATGTAGAGGAGGCATAACATGTCAAGGTAGGCCAGCTGGTCAGATTTCTAAAATTCTTTCACCGATATGGAACCACAATTTTCCTTGGCTATATGCTATATTATAAGTGCTTGATTTGTGTAATAGTCGACCTATCGATTTAAGCGCAGCTTTTTTTAAAACCCCGAGATGCATCCTTTGTAAACGCGGGCGGAAGCTAGTATTTTATTTAAGAATCAATTAAATCCTGTTTAACTATACCTATGTGTATCCAGACACCTATTGTGAAACAGGCCCTTATTAAATGATGAATGGAACTTAAGCCTCATAAAGTTCGCCGTTCAAACTTAAACTCAAGATTTCAAACTTATTGGTTTCCTCACGGTTTTTTCCTTCACCGTATGTGAATGGTTTTTTCAAGTTATAGGTCAGCAAACAAGCAGACGGATTACCTGATGGTAACCAATCTCGCCGCCCATGGACACCCGCAACTGGGGAATTACGAGTGCGTTGCCGACCTTTTAGGGATTAGGGTTTTGGAGATTTAGGGATTGGGGAAGCATCGAGGGAGGTGAAGGATTGGACCTCCGGTAACCTCACTCACACGGCGAAACAACTCTGTGGTTGTTTCACGCCGGTTTTCTCTGAGGCCGTGGTATCACTCCGGTCGAGCCGACCCATTCGTGCTGAAGCATGGCTTTCCCACACTTGGTATCTAAATAAACTCGAAAAAGATGCTTTGGTGAAATTTCAAGCCCGCAACTTTATGCAAGAGAATTAGAAGCGGGCGTTTTAACCTTCGACCGCAAGTGCCTACCTACAATAGCCAAATGGAATGGTACGGTGGTAGGTTATTATTAGTGCCTTTAGTTAATATCAAAAATACTTTGTTTTAAACTGGATTACACAAAAGTAATTTTTCGTCATAGATATGTCCCTAAATGAAACAATAAATTAAATAGTAAGCAGGTAGGTACTTACTTCACATGGCTTTTGTCGAAGGCATCAATACGAAACAAATCTATAAAGATATTATTAGTAACGGTAGTTAGCGATGTCCGCTTGATACAGTGTACCAATACGCCGCCAATCCGCGCGGTCTTCGCTTACGAATCTCTCCGCGTGCCGCGTCGTTTTCACAGTCTGTGTTTCCAGAAGTAACCTGTCTTCAAGTTCCAAGTAAGGTGGTTGCTTACAGGCGTTCTTGTTGACCACATCATCGATTACTGCTAGACGCCGACCTATACAAGCTGACCTACTAACATGAATAGTGTTAACAAGGCACTGCTAATGTAGCGTCGTTTAACCGTTTGTGATCGATCTACCAGCAGTAAATAGTGCCCTTAGTCCATTTCACAATGGACTATTGAAGAAAGAAGTAAAAACCGATCAACCCGAGAGCGACCTCGGCGTGCGTTCCGCTTCATGAATTAAACAGCTAGGTGAGTGTTGTGTATTGCACTCGTCAGACCCTAATCACGTTCATTTTTTCTTTTTATTTGGTCTTTTATACCACTGTGGTGGACAAATCCGGATTAAATCCAAACCATTTGTCTTGGAATCGAATCGCAACTATCAGTTGTTGTACCTACTTGCGGTCATTAAATAAATGTGGCTGTGCGATAGAAATAAATACCTTCACGCCTCATCTTAGCTTTTATTTTCGAAACTAGATACTACTATTCATCTCCTTTAAAAAAATGAAAACTGATATGAGTTACTTACATACTTATTTAAACCATTCTTTCTTCCTACAAAATTTGGCCCTTAAATGCTTCGTATTGATTCATATCCTACATAATGATAGGTAGCTGTACATACCTAATGATAGGTAGGTAACCACCATGTCTGGTACTAAGGGGAGGATATGAAACCTGATTAAAAATAATGCATCGCGCCCTTTTAATCGATAATTTACGACCTGCGCGTTTCAAACCCTAAAGTTTTAGAGGCGAATTCAACCTGGAGTGGGCCCTAGGCAAGCAAATTATAGGCGCCCCTAATATTTTATGATGTAGGATAACACCTGTGCGTTCGCAATTTCGCCGCCACCATTAAGAGGGCAGCTAAATTAAGAAAAATGTTTTTATAGTCACTTCACCAAAGCACAGTAAAAATATCATATTATTACCTTGACCAAAGGCAATCATCAGGTGCAGCTACAGAGCTGTATCCACTGATGGTTCAACGACTTTTGCCACCAAGGGTCGGGCTATTTGAGGAGTGGCTAGAATGACACCATAGTATCCTCATCTTTAACGGTTTAAGCACCTAAGTTTCGACAGTATCCACTTTACTATTTCGGATTTAGCATGAGGAAAGCCCAGATGTCGTCACTGCGAGAACCACGGGCATCCGTGTTCGCAGGGAAATCAGGGAAACGATCGGTACAGGCGACAAACTCTCGCGCTGGGCCTGAGAAAACGTCTTCCTCTACTGACAAGCAGTCATACTCGCAGAGAAGGGGAGGGAGCGCATTAGCAGCCGCCGTAATAAGAGACACTCAGGGCGTCTTCGGGGATCGTGTGACTATCTCCGTCCACTGAAAGGAAGAGAATGGTACCTACTCTCACGCCTCAGAAAGCTCTTCGAGCTGGCGATCATTGCGTTCGTAGGGTAGGAATTTGTCAAGCTTCCAATTGTCAATTCTAATCTTGCCAATTTGACGAAAATGGACCAATATTGTTTTGCTGCTAACGTCGAAAGCTGCTGCCAATTCAGTCGTAAATTGGATTTCATCAGCTTTCACAACTAATTTTCATTCGTCATTGTCGACCAAGACTGTAGACGACCACGGGGTTCATTTCTGAAGTCAAAGCAATAACGAATGGTGCGTATAGTTTGTCGTGTTCGCTCCTTAAACGTTGTTGATGTTGCGTGCCGCTTTGCTGCCATGACCACGCCATGACGATATTCGTACTCCGTAATTACTCGAATTTTAAATTATGGTGTTCGGATGCTTTGACAACAATCACACATCACAGTGTACTTAGAATAGATTATGCACCAAGCTTCCAACTGAGAACGAAAATCTGAAGGTATAGGTATGTACCTATACCAAGAGCCGTTCGCACACTTAAAATAGCTCACGCGCAACAATCACCTACCCACTTACGCGGGGAGGATAAAAGAATCATCACATCTTTTGATCTTTCTAATTGTTGTTGGAACTACTTAGTGCTATTCCTTTGATATTCTCAAAAGACTAAGATAGTTGAAAAACTGGTTAAAAAACGAAAAGAAATGACCTAGGTACATTTAATTTTTGAAACCGAAGACAGGACTAGGGCGTTCTTCCAGGTTTCTTTTTCTTGTCATTTTATCCACGAAGGGTAGTTGTACAATACGGCCGCCGTATCTTGGTGAGTCTGAAGTTAGCCGATTAGCTGCGCAGTACACAATTTTGTTCCTAAAAGATCCATTGCGCAGACAAACGGCTCACTTCAGACTCGCCAACTTTTGCCAAATTGCCATATTTCGTATGCCGCTCAGTTCGTGCGGAAGTGTGGTCTTCCCACAATTTATAACACAAATTTAAACAAAAGAAAACTATACCTAACCGTCTCTAGGCATAATACTCGCAATTAAAAGAATTATACTGGATGCCAATAATAAACTCAATAATACCCCTGTAGGGACAGTCCTCAGTTGGGTAGTTTTCTAGGTCAAATAAATAAATTAGGTAGATGTTTCAATACAACAAAATATTGAAAAACTATACTACTATTCATCAATCTGTTATTGTTTAAAATACTATAACATCATAATTTGGAGTTTCATAGATAAGTATCATTTTGGACATTTGGATAAAAGTATTGAATTTGACTACTGTATTCCAGAAGTGGTTGACTTGCTTCATAACTGTGTTATTCATGTTTCTAATGTTCATGATCAACCTATATTAATGGAAATACAAATAGCAAATAAAATACCTTGCTATACTCCATCCCTGTAGCCAAAGAAAAGTTTTCAAAAAGAAAGTTTCTCCAAATTTTAGATCACTAATTGGCACTAAAATCTACTACCTCTAACTACCAACTGGACTACTTTTGATAAATGTCTATAAAAATACCATCTCAATCATTCTTAAATTTTCAAATGAAAAAAATATAAATGATCCTACTGGCAATAGAGGCATAGGCTAGAGAACGAAGTCTTCACAAAGATTGGTGTTTCAAGATATTCTTTGCAGTTAGAAATCTGCTTAATGCTATACTCATGATTTGGTGTTGTCAAGGCTATTCAAAATTAACCCATTGGCCAATACAACTATGCCATGATAACTGAGACCACACTCCAAATGTTGTCAACCATATTAGATGGTGTTTTACAAAATCTGTACAATAAAATAAACTCAAACATGAGTACAACTATTTTATTTTTTCATTACATAATTCCATTGACAATCACTACATTCAAAATAACTTAAGGCCAAGATGGAGGGTCACCGGGCTTGACCCTGCCTCCATACAGCATGGATTTATCTCTGAAGTTAGTCATTCTTAGCGTTTCTTGGTCATCCAAGTACTTGCCGATGAGGTAACCTCCAATAGGTACAGCAAACCAGACATAGCGAGGAGTGATGCCGAAGATAGCCATCTTAGTTTTCTACCTTCTGTTGTTGCAGCTTCCAGTTCTTAGTGCGACTCCAGTCAAGGTAGATGAATGTAGCAGTTAGAACTGGGAAACTTATGCTGACCAGGTTGCGGCGCAGAAATTGTGCCACCGCCATATACCTGTCAATTGAATTCACTGATAATTAAGTAGTCTTAAATAATAAAATTTATTGATGAAAAGTATATTTTACTTGAGTTGCAAATAACAACAAAATTCCTACTTAGCAAATCTCCACATCTGAGACCACTTAGATCTCTAGGTTAACAGTCAACTGTGAGTTAGTATAATGAGGATTTTCTGTTTTTGTTGGATTTACAACAAAGAACAAAAGTTGGATTTAACAATCTATAATATACATTTCAACAGAGTGTAGTAATTTTTTAAGTAAGTCACACTACACTCCTCAACACGTATGACATTTTTACAAGTAACAGTATTTAGTATGGTCACTGTATTTTACTTTTAATTATTCATATCGACGAAAGGAGGTATGCATAGATTATTTTAGTACAACTAATTGAGAATATAATGCGCATCATTAATTATGCAATTGGAAGGTAGTTCCATAGAAATTCGGATGTATTTCTTATAGAATCTGTGACTTTTATTGCCTGGATTATCAATATTTTACTATAACGTAATCGAATGAATAAAATAGTTGGATATCCACTGCCTACGCTACCGCAGACTAAATATCGGGTTTGCAGTACTTGTTACAGCAAAACAACATAGGTTACATAACGCGTAGAAAATATTAATATAAGTTGAACTGATATATAAATTAATTGTATGATAAGTAAACAAATATTATATACTGCATTTGTGGAAATGTAGAACGGAATACAGAAGAAAACTGCGTAAATGTAACCATCTTACACAAAACAACACTATGAGAAATAGGTACCGTGAACCGATAATTAGGAAGAAATTCAGCACTGATTGATTGTATGTGAAAATATAAACCAATACATTACGTATAATGACTAATTGTTTTAATTTTCATACTTAAAAATAGTGAAACTAACCTAATTCCCAGTGACGATTCTGGAATCAATTTTCATTGACGTTCTGTTTGACATTTGGAATAGAAAACTGTTTTGTTTTGTCTTGCTTGGAACCCCGGCTTTTACGAACTAATTTTAGTAAAGTACAAAAGAGTAACCACTGATTACAAAATCCATTACAGTAAAGTTTCTGTGCGCGGATCGCTAAGAAATGTGACTGTGACCTGCACATTTAATTATGACTAAGGACAACTAACTCTACCTATAAAATGCATTTGACGAAAAAACTTTAGTAAAAACCAATTTTCTTCAATGTGATCTTTTGGTTTATATACTTGATTCATTTCGGTCGCATAAGAAGAATTATTTGACTTTGAATAAAGTAAACAGACGACCCAGTAGCAGTTGCGAGTAGGTTACCACTTGCCTACCTGGAAGTCATTGGTCACCAATGTTCAATAGTAAATGTATTGCAGGTTATAAATATCAATTTTAGGAACACCAAAACGTACAACAGTTAGGCTTCTAGAACCTCTCTATCATTTCAGCTTTTAATTTTTTTTGGCGATTTTTTTGCTGTTCACCGTACCCTGTATAGCAAGTAGGTACATTATTTCCTCGATTTGGTTCCGACGATTTTCACTCCTGAATGTTAGTAGTAGGTACTGATATAGTTGGTAGGTAACTAGATAACTACTACTGTAAACTACTATTTTAGTTTTGGTTGGGTGCCTTACAAGTTAAGGCCTATGCCTATATAGCCTTCTAACAGCTAACGTTATAATAACAACACAATATTACATACATAGTTTTTTGTTTTTCTTTGTATTTATAGTTATTGTTTCTGTTGTATTACATTTTACGCATGACCCTATTTTAGTTTTATTGATAAAGGTAATGTTCATACACTTTTTACTGTTCTAGAGAATATTCTGTAAAAGTGTTGCTAGAAAACAAAAAATCTAAACTTAACGTCTGAAGAAACGAAAACGGTTTAGGTATCTATTTTACTTTAGGAACATTGGATTTTTTTTACAGATTTGCTTGTTAGATAGATTATTTTAAAAATATCACTAAACGACAGCAAAATTTCAATACTGTAAAAATAATATAGCAACATTATTCGTATTGATTATGTTGGTAGCACAAAATTATATGAGCTGATTAGCTGATTTCGTGTGCTTGTGCGTCGCGAAGTTTGTGACTTGTGAGCGAGCATGGAGCGAGCGAGCGAGTGCCTTCGTCATCGTTTGCTGAATTTTAAGTCATAAATTGCAGTGTAGGGTGCTAAAATTATGTTAACGAAGTGAATAATAAAATTGGTGATGTTGGGCTTAGGCTTATTGTTATTTCGCAAACAAACTGTTAAAGAACACAATTTTGTAGTAATCCGTCGAAAATCGAGAAAGCTTCAAACGTGTTTGAAGCTTTCGTTTTTGCATTAATGGAACTATGAACCTGGACCCTTTAACGTTTAGCTTATCGCAAATCAATTATCTCGTTGTAAATTTAAGTAAGAAGAACTTCAAGCAGACGAATCAAGAGTTAACTCAGGTGAGATATTGCCACTTTACAGCTATTCTTTGTTTTCAGTTGTCGCCATATTGTGCATACGGGAAGTCATGATCATTTTGTAATTTAGCATTGACTGGTTATAATTGTCATAGATTCACTATAATTATTCGTGTCTAATGTTGCGAAGCGCGATATTGGTTGCCAAATCATCTATTACGTGATTCTCGTGTACGCCATACGATATGCTACGGATGTGGTTGACTGCGCGCTAAGTTGCGATCAGCACCGTTTCTGGCCTCATAATTTTTTGTTTTTAATTTAGTCGTCACGTTCATATGAACCTATAAAATTTATGTGACTTCATTACTGTCTTTGTAGGTGTATCACCTGTGATGTGACTCCACTATCGATAGGTAGGTATTACTATTTTTGTAGACTAGTTTTATTTTGTGTAAGCAAGGTATTCCTGATGACACAGGTACGACACAGTATAAGGGTTCTATCTAATTGTACCTATACTTGCTATATTACAATGTAAACAGAACAAATTGTCTACAAATTCTTTAAATTTTACTATTGGATATAAACAAAGGTTTTGTTGAGTAAGGCAATGAGACCCATTCACATAAGGGTTTTGCCCTTAATTTATGATCTTACTAGTAACTGTGTGTGCTTAACTGAGTTATATTGTTCTGACAAATAAAGTGTCAACTTTTATTTTTAAGCTTAAATTCACTATTATACATCACTATGTATCTTGTAAACATTTTACAGTTCAAAATACTGCTTAAAACCTTAATACACAAGTAGCAACTAGTTTGAAGTTCCTGTGAAACTAGGTACAGGCCAAGAGATAGGAAATCTTACATTAAGTACACATAACACATGAATACTAAAGTCTTCAATCTGCTACAAACAACTAAATGTTTGTATTTCTACTAGAATTATATAAATATAGCATGTAATGGGAAGATTTCTGGGAACTGTGGTGAATCATCACAGTAAGCCAATGAGATTCTTTATAAAATATGAATCAACACAAAATACCTCTCTAACACATTTCTGTCACTATCTTCAATTTAATACAGTACAGGTGATAAAGCCTTTTTGATTGGATAGTGCAGTTTATCTATAAGAATCTTACTATCAATTTCTTTAATCTTTTTGTTGGTAGCTTTGTTTACAACTTGGAAACCAAAGGTAGAATTTTGACATAACCTATTTACAAAATGTGTTACCTGGATTTATGACAATTCCTAAGATTCACAAAGATTATAAAGATACACAGATATAAGATTAGGTTATGAAGGCTAGCCATAAGATTCTAAATTTTATTTAAGACTAGCCATGAAATACAGTAATATAATGTTTGTAGTGAAAGACAGTTTGTATCACATTAGGCCCAATTTTTACTATAGTGTAGACAAATAGGATATTTTTTTTCACATAGATTAGATTAAATTCTTCACAGGTTAAATGTTTCTAAGGTTTTGTTTGAGTGAATCAAATGGTTTGGTGATAAGTGACTAGATAATACTTCCATCTACCTAATTATATTAAACAAACTAACACCACATTATAAAAAACACTTAAAAATTGTATATAAACTTTTGTCAATATACTTGGAATAGTTCTGGAATTTTCCACCAAAAGACTATTATTATATTTACCAAAAATAAGTATTATAGGAAATTTTAAAGTATTGGAAGTGTCTATAATCTTATTAGAATAGACCTGATGTAAAATGATGTTTTGGAAATCAAATGATGTGTTGTAATTTAGAGAAATCTCATACTCAACTACTCAAGTTCATCCAATGTTTTAGCTTTATGCTTGGGCTGAAATTTCAATATTTAGAACATGTCAGTTCAGTTGGTGAGTTGAAATTGTAAACAATATTATATCAACTTTCCAATAAAGCAATAAAATATTACAGCTTCATCTATTGATTTTTCAATATGAAATTCATATTCTATTAGTTTATTTGAAGAAATTAGAATGCTATATGACAACAGTCTCATTAAGTTAATAGAAAAAAGCCTATTTTGGCAGTTTTTTTCAATTGTTAAAATTTTATTCATAGTTTAACTGAAATATTAATGTTATTATCTGTTTTGGATGATAGGCTTCCATCTTGGTGCGCATATTTTTATGATGACATCTTACACTGTGATAGTTGTGTACTAATTATTTAGTATTTCGAGTTAGGAATGCCTGACGTTATACATCAACCCCTCACAAACGCCGGCGTTCGCGTGCCTATCGTTCTTCTAATGTGTCTCGAATTACCACAACTGAAAGGTTAAAAAACCTTAATGTACCTAAAGATTGAAAATGGTAATGTACCTAAAGATTAGATACTAACTCAATAATCATAATATTAAAAATAGGATAACTCTTTGTTGGTTTCCTACAATGCACTATTTCTTGCATTGATTACACCTTGAACAATGTGTAAAATATAACACTATTTTTCATCACATGCGAAAATTTGTTTAGAATTTATCAATATCTACATTGGTACAATAGAAAAAAACTATTTAAGACTAACTATATTTTCTCATCGTCATGTTAATCCTTAACCAATAAAATTATTTCGTGTAAGACTTTCAATACCTGTTAATTACTTTTCGAATTTATTAGGTCGGCAAAAGCATTCATAGGAGCTATAACAAAATACAAATTCAAATGAATTTTCAAATATAATTTTATTTTATATACAAGTTTCGTGTATCTATAAACTGAACGAAAATAGTGTTATTTTCATCTCTACAGTCGCTAAGCGTATTTGGCATATAATATGCCGTTGTCAGAGACTTCGTGTGAATGATGACGTCACGTTTCTTTCCGCCAATAGCGTTGCGAGAGAAATACAAAAATACTATTTTTAGATATATTTTCTTATTCTTGATTTTATTGAAACTTTCTTTGACTAGTACGAATTTGGTGCATATTCTTATTTAAAATAAGTATTGATTTTAACCAGAAATATCTTTACTATTCTCATTTGGAATGGAGTCAAGAAGAAGAACACATCATGATATCTTTAGTGGCTATAATAAATTTAGCTGCAAATTTTAAAATTCACTTTCATTTCATACAGAAACACATGGTTTTTAAAGCTAAAATTGTAAAGTTAGTTTGTAGCTGGTCCTGACTTTATCTGGGTACTGATTTGTTGCATTTGATTTGCTAGCGGATTCATGTATAAACCTCTTATAAAAGTCAACAAAAAGCACCAGCTTAGTCGCCTGAGGCAATATACAACGGAAATTAATATTATTGTTGTTGTTGTTTGTGCACACGACCAATTTCCTCATCATAGATTTATTTTGCAGATAATGACATTACTTTAACTGATTTGGAAATTAAAAGTCAAAGCGGGATTGAAACCTGGTAAATACCATTGTGACTAGTTCTGAGTTATATGTACTTTATATGATTAGACACCACTGACATACTTATGGTGAAAGAAAAAATCGTTAGGAAACCTGGACTTAAATTTCTAATTATAAGATTGAAATTGACAATTCTGTGGTGATTAATGCTCAAACTTTCTCCTTGTGAGAAGAGGCCTTTGCTCAATGCTCAGCAGTGGACACTTCTTATAGGTTGATGATGTGTATGAAAGCTAAACTTTATTTTTTTAATTTTAGCATTTGTTTAATAAGATGTGGCAACAGAAATGTAACAATATTCAAATTTTAATTGTTTAGGTATCATGGTTCACCAAATGCTGCTTGACAGACAATGGGGTCTCAGTAATATCATTCCAGTGTTTTACTGATTGAATATAGAACCATTAAATGATAGAGTAACTATAAGCCATCTATAAAGCTTAAGGATATAAACGAAATTTAATCTTAATTGACATTCCTACCCACTTTTGCCAAAAAAATATGTGAACAAACCATTTAATTGTATTACAACCAAACCTAGAAAAAAATTTTGAATCCCAAAAATTGTACTGTGTGGAAATAGAATTCAGGTCATGCAGTCACACATATTTTTGCCTTAATGGCTTTTTTTTGTGAGGTGAAAATCATCAAATTACTCCTCCAGCCCAGGGCCGGCCGAGAGGGAGTGTCAGACTCCTACTGACTAAAAACCCCCCCTGTTCCTTGCTGCTCCTGCTCTGGGCTGAGGTCGCGGTGCCTCATTGCGCTTTCCCCGCAACCCCGGCTGTATATCAGCCCTATAGGGCCCCGCCTGTGGTGGTCTATTGGCTCTTTGAGGCGCGCGCGGAACGCTACGCGCCGTATCTCGGGCCTGGTTCTGATCGGGCGGCGAGCTGCCCTTACTCGCCGACCGCAGACCCGGGTTGTTTTATCTGTGGCAGTCTAGGCAGTCTTTTTATCGATTTTTTTAAAACAATGAATAAATTTACAATATTGAAATAAGGAAAATTCCGAGATGTGAAGTGAAAGTAGGGCAATTATTCATTATTTGCCCTAGGAAAACCATACCTCATAATTCCACAAAGAGAACGGAAACCACAGAATTTCACCAACAATCCATATAAATTTCTTTTAACTTCGACGCTTTTTTGCTAAAATAAGGGTTCGGCGGAAGACTGACAACTGACCCCGTTTTAGAAAACTCTTTCTTGAAGAACATAAATGAAAAATTTCCTTGTTACATAAAGTTAATTAAAATTTTTCATGTTTTATTTTGATGAAATATGTTATGGTTCTTATTAGGTTATTCAAATGTCATGGTCTGATTTCGTGTCCATGGAATGGGTGTTGTTTATGTGCAGTTTTGGGATTAAAAGGTGTGTTTTAAAGTGCTTTCATGGCGCAAAAAAACTTAATGTGCAAATAATCTAATTATTAAGATTTAACTTACCTAACATGTTCATTGTCCACAAGGTAGACATAGTAATAAATAATAGCCATGACTCATTTGATGGATGTGATTCTTTGAAAAGAGAAGTATTTTAACTTAAAAATTATAATTACCCAACTACATACATTAATTCTAAATGGATGATAAACATGAGTTTCACTTTGATTGTACTTCCATTTTTTTATTGTATG